CTGGCTCCCAGCCCCGCGGGGAGGGTCTGGCCCTGCGGCAGTGACTCTCCCCTCCCCACCACGCCACAGCGGGGACGGAGCTGTCGCTGGGGTAGGAGCTATGTCCCTGGCACCCAGTCCCCGGCTGAGACCGATTCCTTTGCTCCGGCCAGCAACAGAAGAGCATCGCCGCCATGGAGAGCGACATGGCAGCCCTGTCCCAGTCAGCTGGGCTGTTCGAAGTGTCGGTCCCAAGATACCAACAGCTCAAAGCGTGCCACAGGGAGGTGCGCTTGCTGAAGGAGCTCTGGGACATGATCGTCCTGGTAAGTGCTGTGGTCTGTGAGCTGGCACGATGGGGAGGGCAGGAGGAGGCAGGAGCACCGGGACGTGCAGGGCAGGCGTCTGGGGTCTGCTGGGCTGCTCCTCACCGTGTTGAAGTTCCCAAGGCTGTGCCGAGCTGCTCGGCATCCGCAGAGCATGGCTGCTGGTAGCTCCAGCACAGTGGCCAGGAGCCCTGGGCTCAGTGCTGGCCCCTGTGCCAGGGCACGATGCCCAATGTCACCTCCAGGCAAGGGCTTGACAGCAGACTGCTGTCGGCAGGCGCGGGCACCCAGCACGGGCACCCAGCATGGGCACCCTGCGCCAGCCGGGCACTGCCAGCCAAAGGTGCAAAGTCGCTGTAGCTGCCCAGAGCGTCTCATTGCTGTGCGGGGTGGGATGAGGCCTGGGACGGGTTGTCACAGCATCAGAGCAGCTCTGCTGGCGTGGGGGCTGCGCACCCCAGCACGGCGCACAGGGCGTGCGGGCGCTGGGTGGACTGCTCTTCACCCGTGGCAGGAACGCTTCTGCGGATTGCCTGTCCCATTGAAATGTCTTCCCAAATTCAGGTTAACACGAGCATTGATGACTGGAAGACCACCAGGTGGAAGGACATCAATGTTGAGCAGATGGATATTGATTGTAAGAAATTTGCTAAAGACATTCGGAGCTTGGATAAAGAGACAAGAAGCTGGGATGCATTCACGGGGCTGGACAACAGCGTGAAGAACACGATAACGTCCCTGCGTGCCGTGAATGAGCTGCAGAACCCGGCCATCAGGGACCGGCACTGGCATGAGCTCATGCAGGCAACCAAGGTGCTCCCAGCCCTCCCGCCCTTCCCTGGCTCCAACCCCTGACCCGGGAGGCTCACGAGATTTGCGTCCGTCAGGGGAAAGCTGGCCATACGCAAATATTTGTGTTGGGTCTTTGAACGTGGGTGTTAATGAGGTCGTTCGGGCGAGCAGCCGGGCTGCCTCTCTGCGGAGGGGAGCCCGTGCCCTGACGGTGCTGATTCTGCTCCAGGTGAACTTCACCATGTCCAAGGACACAACACTCGCAGATCTGCTGCAGCTGAACCTGCACAAGTTCGAGGATGAGGTTCATGGCATCGTGGACAAAGCCGTGAAGGAGTCGGGGATGGAGAAGGTGTGTGGGGTTCGGTTCCCAGCCCACTTTGCTGAGAGCCCTGCTCCAGTGTGGCTCTGTGGCCATTCAGCACTCGTGCTCCTGCTCCCAGGGGCTGGAGTCCACAGCAGTGCAGCACCCCCGGAGCTTGTGCTCTGGATTTTTTTGCCTTGCCTTTCCATGGGGTCTGGGACGCAGCACGGCGGAGCCCAGCTCATTTCTCACGCCCCGTCTGCAGGTGCTGAACACCCTGGATGCTACCTGGGCAACGATGCGCTTCGAACACGAGCCCCATGCCAGGACTGGCATCACACTGCTCAAGTCGGATGAGGTCCTCATCGAGACGCTGGAGGACAACCAAGTGCAACTGCAGAACCTGATGACCTCCAAGTACCTGGCCTTCTTCCTTCAGGAGGTGTCGGGCTGGCAGCAGAAGCTGTCGACCGCCGACTCTGTTATCAGCATCTGGTTTGAGGTGCAGAGGACATGGAGTCACCTGGAAAGCATCTTCATTGGCTCCGAAGACATCCGCAGTCAACTGCCCGAGGACTCGAAGCATTTTGATGCTATCGATCAAGATTTCAAAGTGCGAAGCCCACCACCCCCTGGACTCGCGAGGGCTCGCCGCCCGTCTGAGTAGAGCTGAAGCATGTTTCCTCTTGCAGGAATTAATGGCCAATGCGGTAAAAATCCCCAACGTGCTTGAAGCCACAAACCAGCCTGGGCTCTACGCCAAGCTGGAAGCGTTGCAGGAAAGGTGAGGGTTGGGTCGGCCTGGCGAAGGGTTGTGAGAGCCTCCAGAGGCTGCTCCGGGGCCAAAGGAAGGGGCTGATGTCTCCAAAGTGGTGTCTTCTCAACAGGGCAATGACTTTGCAGAGTAACAGTGACTGGGAGGGTTGGCTGCAGGTTTTCTTCCTTGTTTTCCATCAGGCTGGCGCTCTGCGAGAAGGCGTTGGCTGAGTACCTCGAGACCAAAAGGCTGGCTTTTCCCAGGTTCTACTTCGTCTCCTCTGCAGACCTGCTTGATATCTTATCTAACGGGAATGAGCCGGTTGAGGTAGGGGCTGAGCGCAACGTGTGGCAGCAGGCTCTGCATCCCCCTGCGTCCCCTGTGTCCCCCTGTGTCCCCTGTGTGCCAACCTGTAGAGCAATTTTTAAATGTTTTTCATCCTAAGGGGCAGAAGACCCCTCCTGGTACCTCCCTTCTCAGGGGCACAGCGCCCTGCGAGGCGCGCAGGAGTTAACCCTAGTGGTGGTTACGCCCCCGCGTGGGAGCGGGGTCCCTGACGCTCTGCCGTGCCTCT